ATTTATTTATTTTTTAATCCTCACCCGAGGACATTTTTTTCCATTTTTTGTTCAGACAGAGTGGGAGGGAGAGAGAGGACGAGAGAGAGAGAAACATCGAGGTGAAAGGGACACATCGAGTGGCTGCCACCCGCACAACCAACCAGGGCCGGGGACAAACTGCAACTGAGGTACATGCCCTTAGCGGGAACCGAACCTGGGTCTCTCTGGACCGCAGGCCGACGCTCTAACCATTGAGCCAAACTGGCCAGGGCTCAGGTGAGGATTTTTAAAAAGTGTCGTCTTATTGACTTATAGGAATTCTTTATGTATCTGTGATATGAATCATTTGCCAAATTTAAAAAAATTTTTTTGTTTCTCCTCACCCGAGGACATTTTTGCATTTATCTTCAGATAGAGCAGGAGGGAGAGAGGGAGGGAGAGAGAGAGAGAAACATTGATGTGAGAGAGTGAGTGGTCACCACCCACACAACCCCAACTGGGTTCGGGGACAAACTGCAACCAAGGTACGTGCCCTTAGCAGGAACCAAACCTGGTCCGTGGGCTGACGCTCTAACCTCTGAACCAAACAGGCTAGGGCCTTTGCCAAATATTTGAATTATAGATATTTTCTTCTAGTCTGTGGCTTATCTTTTCACTTTCGTAATAGTGTCTTTGGCTTAGCAGGTTTTCATTTTGATCAAGTCAAATGTATCCTTTTCTTTTCCTTTTGTGAGTAATGCTGCTGGGTCCTTGCATGCAGAGAGCTAGGGTCTTTTTCCAGGCACATGAGATGGGAGATGGACATGTGCAGTTACACAGATTACTCAGTTATATAATGAAAATGTTGATAATCTCTTGGAACATTTTTTTTTTTTTTATCCTCATCCGAGGACATTTTTCCTTTTTTTTTTGTTGTTGTTGTTCAGGTAGAGTGGGAGGGAGAGAGAGGAACAGAGAGAGAGAGAGAAACATCGATGTGAAAGGGACACATCGAGTGGCTGCCACCTGCACAACCGACCAGGGCCGGGGACAAACTGCAACCGAGGTACGCGCCCCCAGCGGGAATTGAACCCGGGTCTCTCAGGACCACAGGCCGACGCTCTAACCGCTGAGCCAAACCGGCCAGGGCTCTTGGAACATTTTAAAGGGGGGTGAGAGATGTAGGTTTTATACTGAAGACTTGTTTGAAGCTAGAGCAGGAAGACTGAAGGGCATAAAGGCAGCTGGAGCATGCAGGCAAAGAATTAAGAAAAAGCTGTATAGAGATACAAATCCTCTGTGGAGGTCATTGGAGGTAGGGTTGTACGGGAGAGATGAGATAGAGAGCAGTGAGCTTCTGGGAAGCTGGCAATCCTGAAACTGTTGCTGGTGTCTGGAGCACAGACTGTGCCTCTCAAAACTGCAGAATATCAAGAATGGGAAATGGGAGGAACAAATGAGGATGTTGGTGTGTTAGCGACTTCATGCCATCTTCAGGATGGTCCTATAAGAGAGACAAATTTGGGGCTGAGGTACCATGTTTTATTTTATTTTATTTTGTTCCCTTTATTGATTTTAGAGAGGACAAGAGAGAGAGAGAGAGAGAGAGAGAGAGAAACATCGATGAGAAAAAGCATCAATTAGCCGCCTCCTGCATGCCCCCCACTGGGGATCAGGCCTACAACCCGGTATGTGCGCTGACAAGGAATCAAACCAGCATGGGTCGACACTCAACCACTGAGCCATACCACCTGGGCTGAGGCACACTGTTTTAACAGCAGGTAGAGCCCTGGCCAGTTTGACTCAGCGGTTAGAGCATTGGCCTGTGGTCCAGAGAGACCTGGGTTCAGTGTCTGCTAAGGGCACATACCTCGGTTGCAGTTTGTCCCCGGCCCTGGTTGGGTCGTGCGGGAGGCAGCCACTCAATGTGTCCCTTTCACGTGGATGTTTCTCTCTCTCTCCTTCCCTCTCTATCTGAACAAAAAATGGAAAAATGTCATCGGGTGAGGATAAAAAAAAAAAGCAGGTAGAATATGATCTTGCCGAGAATGGTTTTTAGTCCACGTTTATTGGGAGTCCTATAACTTGGAGCCTTTTAGGGCTGGAAAAGCTGAATTCTCTACCCCAAGAGAAAGCACCAGCAGAGACAGGAGACTTAGCTGGAGATCAGTTTGAGCAAAATGACCAGCCTACTACATTGCAAAGCTTTAAACATTTTCTGCCCACAATGAGAAAAAAAACGTGGGGGCAAAGAACAGATTATAGATGATCTCTCTGTACCTTAGAAGCTGATTTTGAATAGCCTCAAAGTAGGGGCTATTTACTGAGTGCCAGAGAGTAAGCACCGTGTAGATAGCCTGTGATTACCAGAATGGATTTCCCAGTCTCAAAGCCTATGTCTAGACGAGATGTCTGGAATTGACTGGAAATAACAGAAAACCATAAGTTTCTGAGATCTCATTGGCAATTCAGTTTCTTTAAAAATATGACTGATCCCCTGGCCGGTTGCTCAGTGGTTAGAGCGTCGGCCCATGGACCAGAGAGTCCTGGGTTCGGTTTCCGCTAAGGGCACGTACCTTGGTTGCAGTTTGTCCCTAGCCCCAGTTGGAGTCGTGTGGGTGGCAGCCAGTCGATATGTCTCTCTCACATCGATGCTTCTTTCTCTCTCTTCCTCCCTCTCTCCTTCCCGCTGAAGATAAATGCAAAAAAAAAAAAAAAAAGTCCTCAGATGAGGATAATAAATAAAAAAATAAAATAAAATAAAAATTTGACTAATAGCCCGGCCAGTATGGCTCAGTGGTTGAGCATCGACCCATGCACCAAGAGGGCACCCATTAGATTCCCAGTCAGGGCACATGCCCAGGTTGCGAGCTTGATCCTCAGTGGGGGGCATGCAAAAGGGAGAAAATCGATGTCACATCGATGTTTCTATCTCTCTCTCCCTTCCTCTCTCTAAATCAATAAAAACATATTTAAAAAATAAAGAGACATGATTGTCCTTAGGTAGTTTTGGAGATGGAATTCACATCCAAAGCTCTGGCTCCTAGAAGGGAGGCTTAGCCATTGCTGAGAGAGAGAGAAACATTGATGTGAGAGAGACACATCAGTTGGTTGCTTCCCGCATGACCCTGACTAGGGCCGCAGGGCCAGGGATCAAATCACCACTGAGGTAAGTGCCCCTGACCGCAATAGAACCTGTGACTCTTTGGTCCGAGGGCAGGTGCTCCAACTGCTGAGCCAAATTGGCCAGGGACATTTAGTTCATATTAATGTTGACTTCTTCTTTGCAGTTGGCTATACCTATGTTAATTGGGTTTGGGTCAAGCCCATTTGATTACAGCTACATCTGCAAAATACTTGGCTACATTTTAACATTTAGCAAGAATAGCATTTAGTAAAAACTGCCCAGATCTTGAGACTTTTGTCCTATCTAACATTATTGTACATGGAATGCAGATACTATTACACAAAGGGGTTGTGTATGTTAGTTAAGGCTGGAAAAGCTTTTGCAGTAGAATCTTTATGATAACAATGGAATGAGGTGTGTGTGTTCGATTGCAACTTGGGAGAATAACAAATGATTGCCAGTCTATATCCATATCTGAGAAATGCTAAATTAAAGTTAAACCAATTTCTTTACTACAGAACTTCTCAGAGCCCTTACTATGCAAATGTGAATTGCAATATTTTAATTTTTTTTTCTTTATTGATTTTTGAGAGAGAGGAAGGAAGAAGAAGAAAGAGACAGAAACATCGATGAGAGAGAACATCGACTGGCTGCCTCCTGCATGCCCCACACTGGGGATTTGGCCCACAACCTGGGCATGTGCCCTGACTGGGAATCAAACCAGTGACCTTTTGGTGCATGGGTCGACGCTCAACCACTGAGCCACACCGGCCTGGCTGAATTGAAATATTTTAAAAAATTATTTGACCACTAAAATATTTTTCATCCAATTTTACTAATACCTCACAGTCACATTTCAGAGATCCTGGATTACCCTTGGCCATCTTCAGTAGGAGAGAGAGGAAACCATAGGGCAGGGCTAGATGAGTTGTAGAACCTACTGACTCCAAAGATAACAACACAGAGCTTCCCTCCACAACATGTGATGGCTCCATGTGGTAGATGACATGGGTCTTGAGTAGTCAGGAACTGATCTCAAGTCCCTGGAATTCACTGGCTTGCCACCACACTTAACACTGTTTATCATGACACCTTAGCACAGCATTCTGGAATGTGTCTTTGTGGTAGCAAATCTGATGCCAGGAAAACCTTTGTTCTGTCAGGCAGTGGACTACCCAGTACTCTCCTTGCTCCCCACAACTGCCTGAATCCCATCCGTCTTCTGGGCTCCAGATAAGCTCACTCCAGAGCCTTCCTCAGCTGCCTGAGCCATGGTGACTTCTCCCTCCTCTGATCCTCTGCCTCTGGCTGCCCAGTGATGCTAGTGGACTGAACTGAACCAGGCTGCAACCTCTCAAAACAAGGGCCTTGGGTTATTCACACTATCTGAGTCCACAAGGTAGAACCAAACAAAAATGTGTGCATGACAGTGATGCTGGAGATGATGCTTCTGATTGTGACATAATTGCCACCAAATAACCCTCAAGGACCCAGCAGCCAGCCATTCCTTTGATTGAGGATACCAAGCCTCTTTCTTGTGAGATCTAAGGAAACGATGTGAGATACTGTATGTGCAAATGCTTCATAAACAGTGAGGCATTGTACAAATAAATAATTGTTATTAATGTGGTCTTTATTGCCCTGATCAGTGATTGGTCCGTTTTTAATGACCTCTAACCTTTGGTCTTTCCACTAATTAAACCCATGCCATTTCCCTTATATACTATATGGTTTATTATAATATTCATCTTTTTTTTTTCTCCTTTTGCCCCCATTGACATCCTCCCCCTGGTCCCCCTCCCCACCCCATCCTCAGCATTGTTGTCTTTGTCCATTGGTTACACATACAAGCATAATATTCATCTTTTTAGAAGACCATTTTTTGGTAGCCTGACCACCAGTTCCACTGTTCCAGATACCCACAACCAGTTGATTTCGTGCTTTTTTTGATGTCCAGGCACCTTTACGTGGAGCAGTGGAGATAGTTCTTGAAGTAGTGGAGAGCCAGCTTGAACTGGACCTGGGCATTGGTGTTGAGCCGGTATTTGCTGTAGGTCTTCTCCAGGGCACCCAGCTGTGGGTCCACCTCTGGAGAACGGGCCTGGTGACCTATACTCACGTCTGGGCATGAACCCACCAGCAGGCTTCCGAGCCCGTCAATAAAGAACTCTGCCAGGAGAGGAAGAGCACAAGAAGGAAATGTGAGATTCAGCCAGAGACCCAGGGCCGCATTCCACAGCCTGGGAGGGGAGCCAGGGGGAGGAGACAGTTTATACCCCTGTGGAGGTTCAGCCCCATGCAAAGCCACCTGCCCAAGCTGATTTGGAATGAAATAAATAAATAAGGTCCCTTCTCAGAGAGAAATACGGGTAGAGAGGCAGAGAAACACAGATCAGCGTTCCAGCTGGACAGAACTGTGGACTCCAGGACTGAGGGAATAAGAGAGAAAAGAGAGAGGTAGTTAACCAGTTGCAGTTAAATAGGGAAGGATTTCCGGAAAATGAGAATAGGAAACAGGGTGTGGAAAGAGGGAGGGGACAGAGCTGTGGAGAAAGGGAAGGGTGTCTCAGACAAGCAGGAGACAAGAAGTCAAATAGAGGGTGAAGAGGGAAGCAAGAGAGACGATGAGCTCCTTTATTTGGGGTCATAGGGAAAGGAAACCCACTGTTGCCAGGCAAGCGACTGTGATCCCTGGAGCCTGCCCTGGAAAGAACAAACTTAAAGTCAGTTCATACCCCAGGCCCTGGCTTCACGCCTTCAGCCTCCCTACCTGAATGAGCCACTCTTTGCAGACGGGGGTCGAAGCCAACCCTTTGGAGTCGTTCTGTGTGGGCAAGAAAGAAGTTGACAACGCCACTGGTCACCACACAGTTGGGGAAGCCGTCCAGGGGCCGGAAAGAGCCTGACCTCCGGTGAAGACAATGTCCGTTCTCACTCTGCTCCAGCAACAGCCTAAACTGGAACACGTTTCCAAGCACACTGCCGCCCACCTAGCGCATGGGCAGAGATATCCACGTTAGGAGCACAGACTCAATATCCATGTTGCCTTTGCCGGGAAGCCTTACTGGACTGAACCTGTTACAAGAATCACACCTCTTCTCTATCTACCCTCCATGCTGTCCCTCAGTTACTCTCTTCTTGCTATTGCAGCCACAGCCTTCGATATCTACTGCTGGTTCCTTTGATCCTTCTTTCCTACTCACTCCAGAAAATCCCCTTGGTGGGGGCAGAAAGCACACCAAGCCGAAAGGGCAGACAAGTTCTCTGCTCTGCATACCCTACAGCAAGCTCATGCTTTCCAGAAGAAGCCAACTCACTCCCTTCCGTTAGGAGGGGCAGTGTTTGGGTGCAGGCCAGGGACAGCCTGCGTGTGCAGTGGTCTGTGTGCGGAGTCTCCCCTGTGGGGCTTCTTGCCGCTTTTCGAAGTTTGTCTCAAGCTGTCTTCCTCCCATTCTCTGCTCCCTGCTCACCTCTCTGAGCAGCTGTCCATGTACTTATGGGGGCATGTGCATCTGTACGTTTGAGCCCAAGCCAAACAGGACAAGCGAGAACTTCTATTCCTGAATCATCATAATCACTGAGGATGGCATGGTACAGCCTGCTAATATCCCCCATCACCTGTTCTTTCCTTCTTCCTTTTAGTGAATGAACCCTCTGAGTTTTAAATGGGTTAAATTAAGATACAGTTCACTATCCAGCTAAAGAAGAAATTACCCATTTCCCTTGCAAGGTCTGAGCATGGGGCTAAGTCCTTATGATTTAGATAGATGCAACTTCTAGATCACATTCTTAAAAGTAAATGGTCCTCCACTTCCTTGCTCCCTTTTTCCTCTGAGGACCACGAGGATGATGAAGCCACAAGGGAAGGAAGCTAGTCCAGGATGACGGTGGAAGCAGAGTCAAGTGCCAGCTTGAACTTTGACATGAGCGGGATCTACACCTTCTATCTCATTTATGCTGTTGTGATTTGGTCTCTAGAAGAGTAGCCAAGAGATCTCTTAGTGACCTGGGTGCTTTGGGGACTATCCATCTGGAGTAAGAGTTATGTGTGGTCACAATGCCACTTATTCATTTTCTTTCTTTTTTTTAAACAGCTTTGTTGAAATATCTTTGACATATTAAAATTGTATATATTTAGCTCTGGCCAGTTTGGCTCAGAGGTTAGAGCTTCGGCCTGTGGACCAGAGAGACCTGGGTTCGGTTCCCACTAAGGGCATGTACCTCGGTTGCAGTTTGTCCCTGGCCCTGGTTGGGTTGTGAGGGAGGCAGCCACTCGATGTGTCCCTTTCACGTGGATGTTTCTCTCTCTCTCCCTCAATCTCCCTCCCTCTCTATCTGAACAAAAAAATGGAAAAATGTCCTCCGGTAGGGATAAATAAATAAATAAATAAATAAATAAAATTGTATATATTTATGGTATACAGCTTGATGCTTTGATGTATGTATACATTGTGAAAAGGTTATCACAATTAATCTAATTAACATATCAGTCACTTTAACATAAGTACCATTGTGTGTGATGAGAAGAGTTAAGATCTATCTCTTCCCAAATTTCAAGAATACAATACAGTATTGTTGCCTATCAGCACCTTTCTTTTTAAATTTTTTTCCTTAATTGATTTTAGAGAGAGAAGATGGGAGAGGGAGAGAGAGAGATAGAAACATTGATGAGAGAGACCATTGATTGGCCGCCTCCTGCTTGCCCCCCACTGAGGACTTGGCCCACAACCTGGGCATGTGCCTAGACCAGGAATCAAATCAGCGACCTCTTGGTGCATGGGTCAACGCTATACCAGTGAGCCACACCGGCCGGGTTTGTTCTCTTTTTTATATGTGAATTGACTTTTGATGTTTTTATTATTTTCTTCGTTTTAAAATGTCATCATGGCCCTGGCCGATTTGGCTCAGTGGTTGGGACGTCGGCCCATGGACTAATGAGTCACAGGTTTGATTCCGGTCAAGGGCATATACCTCGGTTGCAGTTCATTTCTGGCCCTGGTTGGGGTCATGCGGGAGGCAATCAGTTGATGTGTCTCTATCACATCGATGTTTCTCTCTGTCTATCTCTCCCTCCCTCCCTCCCACTCTATCTAATGATAAATAGAAAAATATCCTCGGGTGAGGAATAAAAAAAAAAGAAAAAGAAGAAAGAAAGAAAGAAAATGTCATCAGGGATATGTGTGCCTTCAAGGCTTTGAGACATTTACATTGTTTTCAGATGGTGTGTGGCAGACCCAGGGCACTACTCTTTCATCTCACACCACTCCAGGGCCACTTTAAAGATGAAACAGTGGTGGGCTGCAGTTTTCTCAGAGAAAAGTAAGTTGTGTTTCCAGAGGCAGAAATAGAACTCGCACATTTCCTAAGTCTGGTGTGACCTCTCAACCCCAGAGCTGTGCTGGCTCTTCACCCCCTGCATCCGCCCCTCTCCCTTGCCTTTCTTCCCTCTCTTCTCTCTTTTTTCCTCCTCTTTCCTCACATACTTTCCTCTCTTCTCCTCTCCTTCCTTCTCCTGGTTGTTTCTACAGGTTGCAATTGGAGTAAAACTGGCAACTCCCTCCTACCACATCCAGTTCCGTTTTCTCCAGAACATCCACCAGCATCTCAATCTTGGTCTTGTTGTTGAAGAGAAAGTCATCATCCACCCAGAGGACGTATTTGGTGGTGACCTGAGATATGGCCAGGTTTCTACCAGCAAACCAACCCTGTAGGTGGAACGAGGTTAGATCAGTGGTTACCACTAGAATAATCACCTGGGGAGCTTTCTCAATTCCCAATAGCCAGGCTGCACCCCAAACGGATTAAGTCAGAATTTGTGGGGTGAATCCAACATAAAGCTGAGGTTGAGAGACACTGGGTTAAAGGGTCGTGTCTCAGAGACACTGGAAGAAGGAAGGTGACTTTCTGGATCAAAGATGGAAAGGCTAGAAAGCCCTGCCTTGGTCCTGTGGCCAATATGGAGGGAGTGAAGTTCTTTTCCATCTGATAAGAGTCTCTGTGGCTCTCCTTCCATTTCCCCTTATGTTGCCTGGAAGATGCTGGAAGGTGGGACACTCTGTGTGTATAGTAGCTATTTCCTGCTGTGTGTCCTTGGAGGAAGGCATATGGGAGAAAGACAGACAGAGAGCTAGCCGGTCCAGCTTGGGGGGAATCACAGAGATGAGAAGTTTCTCTGCAGTTGGATCTGCCTGTCAGGAATCCTTGGGATGTCAGACACCTCAAATCACTCAGAAGGACTTCAGTGAACTTCCACATCACTTGTGAGGGAAGCCAGGTGAACCACCCATTAATATAGAAACGTGAGTGACCTGATTCCTTTGTGAATTTGGAGTCAGCAAGGGGACTCCAAGAAGAGTGTTACCCCTGCCCGCTCCAGCACGCTGCTTCCTTGGGAAGGCCACTGAAACAGCCCATCCAAGGCAGAACCTGACTCTGAGGCCCTTGGGCCCAGGACCAGGTGTCTCCCCATCTAGGGCGAACATACCTTCCCAAAGGGCATGATGTAGTACTCCACATGGCTGTCATTAATTTTCAAAGGTTCCTTGCCGTCATCAGCCACGATCACAGTCAAGTCTGGATAATACTCACGAAGACTCCGGAGCATGGTCATGAGTTTGTGGGGACGGAGGAAAGTTTTGGTGGCGATGGTCACGAGGTCTCTCAGTTTCCTCTCTAGTCAAGAAAGGGTAAGTAATGTCAGAGCACTGTCTCTTGGGAAGGCTCATTGTCTTCATTTGCATTGTTCTGGTGGTTTCTTTATGCCACAACCTCTCAGTGTTTGTGGGCCTCATGCCTCAGTAAGCGCTCAATAAGAGTTTGTCAGGTTAGAAAATAAATATGTTTATGTATCCCTATGTTCACTGAAGCATTACTCACAGTGATCAGGGCAAGGAAGCAACCGAGGTGTCCTTTGCTAGATGACTGGATAAAGATGTGGTACATATATACAACGGGATACTACTCAGCCCTAAGAAAAGATGAAATACTGCCACTTGTGACAACATGGATGAACCTTGAGAGAATCACGCTAAGGGAAATAAGTAGACGGAAAAAGTCAAGAACCATATAACTTCACTCATATGTGGGATATAAAACTGAAAACAACAAATGAACCAACAAGGTGAAAAAACAAACAAACAAAAACTCATAGACACAGACAACAGTATGGTGGTTATCAGAGGGCAAAGGGGGTCAAATATATGGTGATGGAAGGAGACTTGGCTTGGGGTGGTGAACACAATGCAATGTACAGATGACGTATTATAGAGTTGTATACTTAAAGCCTATCTAATTTTATTCACCAGTGTTGCTCCAATAAGTGTAATACAATTATAAATTAATAAATAAATTTAAAACATATGCAGTTTGTTGAGATTTTATCTGTCTTGTATCCTAGAGGGATTTTTTCCCTGGCTCTGTTGGCTTCACTATGTCATTTCCTACTGTCTATTTGAATGCTTATTGTATGCTTGCCTGTCAGCACTTTGCTTGGGTTCTGTTTCCATTTAATACCAGGAGTTGAGATGCACAGATCTTGTCCCTTCAATATGGAAGGTCAAGGGGCCCAGGAAGAGGAGAGAAGGTCTAAAGGACTTGAGACCTGCCCCTGTCATCAGCTGAAACTCCTGGAGAAAAACCTACTTGGACTTGATGCTCAGAAAGACATGAGTACAAACAGGTCTACTTGGAGATTGGAAGGTCTGGACCAGATTGTCCATGTTACGGCCTGTGATTTATATAAAAGTCTGGAGAAGGGACAGCTTTTCTATGGAAAATACCCCATGACGAAACAACTGGAGCTACTGATGTGTTTGTAATTTAATCACTGAGGATGGAGCCACACCAGCTGACTGAGCACACAGGGGTCTGGGCGAGTCGGCTCAAGTGGAGTTTGTGGGTGCTGAAAACCACAACCCTGCCCAGCCAGTGTGGCTCAGTGGTTGAGCGTCAACCCATGCACCAAGAGTTCACTGGTTCGATTCCCAGTCAGGGCACATGCTTAGGTTGTAGGCCCAATCCCCAGTGGGGGGCATGCAGGAGGCGGCCAATCAAAGTTCTCTCTCATCGATGTTTCTATCTCTCTCTCCCTCTCCTTTCCTCTTTCTCTAAAATCAATAAAGAGCCCTGGCCGGTTTGGCTCAGCGGTTAGAGCGTTGGCCTGCAGTCCTGAGAGACCCGGGTTCAGTTCCCGCTAAGGGCACGTACCTCGGTTGCAGTTTGTCCCCAGCCCTGGTCGGTCGTGCGGGTGGTAGCCACTCAATGTGTTCCTTTCACATCGATGTTTCTCTCTCTCTCTGTCCCTTTCTCTCCCTCCCACTCTACCTGAAAAAAAAAATGGAAAAATGTCCTCGGGTGAGGATAAAAAATTTTTTTAAATCAATAAAGAAAAAAATAAAAAAATGTACGAGTACATGCTCCATAACCCTACTGCAGAGCCGCTTTCTCTGCCCGACAGAAGTCATTCCCAAACCCCAGGTTGCTTGATTACCCTAGCTCCTCCTGGATTTGAGAGGAGGAGAAAGTGAGGGGAAAAGGTATCAGAGGAAAAAGTCAAGTAGATCACATTCAAGAGCATGTCAAATCCTCTCCTCTCTTTTCTTATCTCAGGCCACATGACATTTGGTTCTTTTGTTAAAGAACCAGGAATGGGAATTATCACAGGTTGTGGTCAAGGTAAGGGACTCCTAGCCAAGTTGGTGGTGTAGCTTTCTGCTTTGGGAGCCTTTTTTTTTTTCCAAACACACAGCAATGATAAAGAAAAATTAAAGATATAGCCATGCCAAAAAAAATATGAGACATTTCTTCCAAAGAACAGAAATAAAAAGCAGCAGGCAGAACTAGATTTTGGGGTCAGTGCAACAGAAGAGATGGGAGGCTGATTCTGAAAGGTAACGAAGTAAGAATGTCTCATGAGATGTGTGGGTCCAGAGCCAGGATTTTTTGTGAGAAGCCAGGGACTAATAGGTTGCACTCCTTCCATCCCCCCCCATACTACCTGCTGTGCAAGGAACCCCAAACAGCTATCACCCCTACAACACCTTTGGGTGCAATCTGAGAAGACACCACCTCACGGCAGGACCTGTGCCAAGCCACCATCTGGCCCAGCAACTATCTCTTCAGTAACTCCAGTATCACCATGGGATGGGAACCCCAACACACCAGTATGATGGAATGAACTAGGAATCTGGGGATACTGGGAGTAAAGGCAACTGTAAAGCTGGGAGATGGGAAGAAGTCAGGAGAGAAAGAGAGAAGAAAACAAAACAAACAAGCAAGCTCAATTCTCCTGCTCAAGATGAGCTCATCAACAAAAATTCCAAAACACTTAAAATTAGCATGAAGAACAACAGCCAACAATCTACTTTGTGCAGAACCTACTCCAGACAGACTGAAAATAATAGACATTCAAAAAAGGTTTAAAATGAAAACGTTTGAAATCTTTAAACAATAAATAACGGAATCACACATATGAAAAAGAAAATATAAAACAAAAACAGGTATAAATAAAGTGAGAATATTTGAATATGAAAACTGCTTAAAATTATTGAAGATCAATGTCAAAAACCAAAAGGGGGACATGATTCAGATGTATTTAAATGTTATAAAAAGCTTAAGAGAATGCTATGAACAACTTTATGACAAAAAACTGGTGATTTTACATCAAGTGGATACTTTTATAGAAACATTTAAAAAATGACTCAATGTACATACAGATCAATAACCATTAAAGACACAGAATTATATTTTTAAATGTCTCCCTTTCTCTCACTCTTTCTCATTTATATCCTCACTCCTAATCCCAAACCACCTACCTTGTAACTCAGACACCCCACAAAAGACACAAGGACCAGATAAGTTTTTTGTTTTTTTAAAATCCTCACCCAAGGATATTCTTTTTTCCATTTATCTTCACATAGAGTGGAAAGGAGGGAGAGAGAGAGACATCGACATGAGAGAGACACATGGACTGGTTGCCTCCCACACGACCCCGTCCAGAGCCGGGAACCTAACTGCAACCGGGGTATTTGCCCTTGGCCGGAATCAAACCCGTGACTCCTTGGTCCGCGGGCCGACACTCTAACCGCTGAGCCAAACCAGCCAGGGCAGGACCAGATAAGTTTTAACAAAAGTTCAAGAGCTATCTAATTCCTACTGTATTGCAATTCATTTCAGAAAATAGTAAAAAAAAAAAAAAATAGAAAGCTACCCAACGTATTTTATGAGACTTGCATGATATTGATAACAAACTGAGCAAGGACAGTACAGGAAAAGACAGTCTCAGTTTTGAATACTGATGCAAGAATCCTAAATAAAATAGTAGTAAATTTAATTTATCATTTAATCAAATCATGCATTGCAATGAAGATGGGTTTATTCTAGCAATGCAAGGCTATTTCAGCAGCAGAAAATCAATCGACATAAGGCACTACATGAACCCAGTTGAAGGGGGGATATTACTTCAATATACAGACAAATTACCTGATAAAATTCAAGACTCATTCATAATAAAAACTCTTAACAATGAAATAGAAAACAGAAGGTAGAAGCAGAAAAAATGCTTAGCAACAGAAATAGAAGGAAAGAAGGGAACTTTCTTACCCTGATACATCTAGTACAGTTTTGTTTTTTTTAATCCTCACCTGAGGACATTTTTGCATTTATCTTCAGATAGAGTGGGAGGGAGAGAGAGAGAGAGAAACATTGATGTGAGAGAGACACATTGAGTGGTTGCCACCCACACGACCCCAACCAGGGTGGGGGCCAAACTGCAACCAAGGTTCGTGCCCTTAGTGGGAACTGAAACGGGGTCTCTCCAGTCTGCAGGCTGATGCTCTAAACGCTGAGCGAAACCAGCCAAGGCTACCACACTCTTCCACAGCCACCATTGGTGGTACAACATCCAAATATTCTTCTCAAAGTCAGGAATAAGCAAAAGTGCCTGCTGTCCCCTGCTACTACCCAACACTGTGTAGGAGGTTTTAGCCGAATGCAGTCAGACAGGAAAAAGGAACAAATTATAAGAATTGGAAAGGAGAAGACAAAAATCATAATTATTTGTCTAAGAGATTCTATGTTTTTTAAAAATCACTAATAAAAGTGCAACAAGGATGCTGTTTATAAGCTCAAAATTCAAAAATTACTAATGCCCTATATACTAGCAACAACCAATTAAAATGTAGAAGAGCCCTGACTGGCATGGCTCCGTGGTTAGCGTGTCATCCCATGCAGAAAAGAGTCTTGGGTTCAATTCCTAGTCAAGGGCAGGTACCTAGGTTGCAAGTTTGATCCCTGGCCTGGTCAGGGTGAGTGTGGGAGGCAATCAATGAATGTTTCTCTCTCATAACGATCTCTCTCTCTCTCTCTCTCTCTCTCTCTCAAATCAATGGAAAAATATCCTTGGGTGAAGATGAACACACAAAAAAATCTGGAAGAAAAAGTTTCAATTCACAATAACAATAAAAATACAAGGTACCTCAGGCTAAATCCAATAAAATGTGTGCAATTCCGCCCTGTCTGGTTTTTTTTTTCTTTTTTTTAATCCTCACCCGAGGACATTTTTCCATCCTTTGTTCTGATAGAGCGGGAGGGAGAGAGAGGAAGAGAGAGAGAGAGAAACATCGATGTGAAGGGACACATCGAGTGGCTGCCACCCGCACGACCAACCAGGGCCA